AATTTAGCTACTCATAATGGAAATGAAACTTAAACAGAAATGAGAAAACATAATGAATGTAATAAGAGTGGAAAAACCCATTTCTGAAGTTACTTGTGGTGTCCAAGGCTTCTCCAAGTGCTTCTCCACACCTAATGCTGCTCCAAGAGCTTTCTCACATCTAGAGTATGGCAACTAAAGAGGTGATTTGGGATGAGTTTGGGTGAGTGGTGATGGCAGAGAAAGAGGAAATTCGTAGGGAAATGGAAGGAAGGCTTGTTGGAGCTGTTTTGGTGATTTGGGACTGAATGGAGTGTTTGGGGAAGGATGGGAGTGTTAGAGGATGGCTGAAGTGAATTTTAGGCTGAATGGACTGACTCACTTTGAATGAGTGTGCATCACTCTATTTATAGAGTGCAAATTCGTGCTCCCCCTTTGGTTGGTGAAGCACACCCATTCCTAGCTGTTCCTATTTGCCTGAGCTGCCCATTAGGTTCCCATGCTGCTGATTTGATATGTAGCCCATGCCTCTAGGAATGTCAGCTGCACATGCCTCTTGGAATGTCAGTTGCCCATGCCTTCTGAGTTTCCATGCTGTCTTGTCAGCACATGGCTCAACAGCTAGCAGTTGCATTCCTGAGCATGGTGTGCATTTTGATGGGCTCACAGATTGGGGTTGACTTAATCAATTGATACATTTGAGTAGTCCATCTTGAAGTTCAGACTCTCATCTTTCCAAGAACATATTATATGGGCCAATCAAAGTTGGGAGAAAGACGTTAAAGCCGAAATGAGTTGCTAACTCGTTTTTGCACCATTTTACATCTTTTCTTATCCAAAGGCACCATTGCTACCTAAGGCTCAATGAACTGAATGATAAATAGAAAAGGGATTAAAAGCACATGTTTGACTCAATAACATAACCAAATCATAAGTTAGAAGGGTACAAAATGATATGCAATTGTGAACTGATCACTGAGGTAGTATACCGCTTGCTCTTTCTTCTCATCATTGTCTTGGTCTAGTAGACTTCCGATGGAGTTTTCCGCGGCCGAAATATATAGTTTCAAGGGTCGGCCTTGCTTTAGTGGAATGAGCATCGGAGGCTTGGCCAAATATTCTTTAATGGCGTCAAATGCCCTTTGGTGAGTCTCTTCCTACCGAAATTTCTCTTCATCTTTGAGCTTTAGCAAAGATGAGAAAGGCTCAACTTTCCCCGCGGAGTTGGCTATAAACCTTCGAAGGAAGTTAATTTGGCCCAATAAACTTTGCACACCTTTCTGGTTTTTTGGAAGGGGTGCGTCAATGATAGCCTTCGCCTTATTTTTATCAATCTCAATCCCCCTTTGGTGCACCAAGAATCCTAAGAAATTTCCGGCAGATACCCCAAAACCACACTTTTTTGGGTTCATTTTCAATTGATGTCGTTGCATTCAAAGGCCGACCACAGGTCATCTAAGTGGCCTAGTCTAGACTCCGATTTTATAACAACATCATCAATGTAAACTTCTAAATTTCGACCGATCATGTCATGGAAAATAGCGTTCATTGCCCGCTGATATGTGGCCCCGGTATTTTTCAGGCCAAAGGGCATCACCACATACTCAAAAGTTCCAATGGATCCGGGGCACCTGAAGGCTGTCTTGTGGACATCCTCCTCGACTCTAAAAATTTGGTTATAGCCAGAGTGCCTATCCATGAATGATAAAATTTCATGCTTGGCCGCCCCATCGACTAAGAGGTCGGCCATGGGCATGAGATATTCATCTTTGGGAGTTGCAAGATTAAGATTGCGAAAATCAACACATATTCTTATTGCTCCTATTTTTTTCTTTACAGGTACAATATTTGAAAGTCATTCTACATATCTAGCTGGCCTAATAAATTTGGCTTTTACAAACCTTACAATTTCTTTCTTAACCTGTAATTCTACTTGTAATAACTCAAACCTTAATTAATATTTAACTATTAATTTATTAAGGAAAAAGGACACTTTTGCCCTCAGACTATTTTAGTAAAGGAAAAGTTGACTCTTTGACCGGAGACGAATTTGGAAATTTCGTTTATACCGTTGTGTAGAGCGCGACGAAATGAGTCCGTAAACACGTAATGGGCTTGATTTGGAGTTATAATGAAGAAAATACGATCAAAATACTTCAAGGGGCAAAATGGTAATTTTCCAAGCCAGATTTTTAAAAACTCAGCTTCTCTCTCTTCTCCCCCAATTTCTTCTTCTCTCCCGTGCGTCCTTTCTCCAGCCATCTCCTTCAAAGCTCCATAACCACAGCCACCCTCCACTCCGGCCGACAAGACCGGACCCAATCGAACCACCGCCGCTTCCTCTTCCAAGTCCAACCAAGCTCAGCCGTCACCACCGCCAGCAGCCACCGGAAAACGCAGAAAATCGCGGGGTTTTGACAGATTTTCTCATCGCTCGTTCTCCCTCGATTCTCCACCAAATCGGACAAGTGAGGTATGGTTTTCCAGCTATTTTTCGTAACTTAGCTGCTGGTTGGGTAGGATTTCAGAAATTTCAAGCGTAGATCGGTCGATTTTCAACTTAAGTTTCAGCCGGTTTTGAGGGTAGGATTCCGGCCACTTCCGGCCACTTTTTGGGGTAGGTCCAAGAACAAAAGTGGTTCCAAATTGGGTGTTTTACCTAAGTTAGGAATTTGGGCCGGCGGTTTGGAGTTTTTCCGGCCACCGGAAATCTCTCAAGCCATCCAAACTGCCGGCACATGTGGCAGCACGTGGGCAGTCTGGTGGGGACTAGTCTTAGATTCAGAATGATCCTCGTATTCTTACGAGTGTATAGAAATTCGCGGATCTCAATTCGGACGTCGTTTGAGTGTTAAGCGGACTTTTACATAGTGTGCGTTGTCCGGGTTCAATAGTTTCGAACCGTTGGATCATGATCACTTTTAGATATGTTAATCTAGACCTTGCCAGGATTGTGTAGGATTCGACGAATCGTGAATCGGAGTCCCAGATACTCTGAAGTCGCGAACCCTAAGGTTAAGGGTTTAGAATTGTCGATCGTGTGATCGTGACGAATCTAACCGTCCGATCGAAACCAGATTCACGGGACGAATGTCCTGGGATTAAAGGAACATAATGTGGGCATATGAATAACTTTAAATTGATGCACGCACTTCTAGAAGCCGGGGGTCAGGGTTTTATTTAAATATTTATACCGAGCAGTTTTATTAATATATTTTATTATGGTATTTGAATCAGGCACTCGGGCACCAGTTGACCCGCAGGAGGGACCTTCCAAGGGTCCAGCGAGCTCGGACCAACCGTGAGTGGACTCTTTGTTTTCATAAATGAATTTATGCAATTTAGTTTCAGTATTTGATCTTGGATAAGTTTTATTCAAAGACTAGTGTTTTATAAGTGAGACATGCTTTTAAATATTTTGATTTGTATGCTGCCGAGTGGAATATCTTTTAGAAATATAGAGAAAGAGAATTTTAGTTAAACATCAGATAAATGGCAGCAGAGTCTAGCCTTAACAGAAATTCAGTTATTTATAAGATCTTTCAAAAACTTTGCTTATTATTATTAATATTGTTATTTTCTAAGCCACCTTAGGTACCCAGATATACAGATGTTGCCTTCAGATATGATGATGTCCACAGACATCCGAGTTGCCTTCGGATTTTGTCAGTTGCCTTCGGTTTAGTCAGCATGCTTGACAGTTGCCCCACGAGTTCTATGGTACCCGGACTCGTGTGGAGCGAGGACCTGGATCAGGTTGACCAAGGTCCCCTGAATCCTGCGAGGTTGCAGCTCGGATTGACTTTGTGTCACCGAGACTGCGAGGACGTGTCACCAATGGTGATGCGAGGGGAATTGATGGATATCAGGAATTGACGGAATTAAAGGGGTGCACCTAGGTGGTAGTTTTAAACTGATTTCAGTGCTTTTAAGAGTTTAAAAGATGACCATGAGTATGATTGGCATATATTTATAATTATATGTGTGTGCTTTGATTTTAATACGAATATAATGAAGACAATGATTTAGTTTTGCATAACCATTTTTACAGTGGGGTTAGTATGTTCTTATGTATTTTTCTAAACTTTGTTTTTGGGTCCACTCACCTTTTTAATGTTTTGCGCCCCTAGGCTGTAGACGTGCATCCGAGAGCCACCACAGGGAAATTCCTGCTTCCCGCTCCTCCCCATTTTGATGTAGGGTTCCTTGGTTCACAAGTGGTTACCTCCTTTGTAAATAAATCCGTATAGTTGCTCTGATGTTGCCCTGGAACATATTTACTGTTGGAACATACTTATGTTTGTATTCTGGCAGTTGGTGTATATATTTAAATGCTTGTTGACAGGTGTGAATTTTGGGAATGTTCGACTTACAGGAGAGACTCTGCTGAAATTTCGGTAGAAGTCAGGATTTAAAGAAAATTAAGTTTTTAATCAAAAGAAAGGGCAACCAAGTCAATTGTACTCGGCACCCGCCAAGTGTCGATCACGAACAGGGTTCGGCTCGGATTCCAAAGTGAAATTTGGGTCGGGTCCTGTCACTACTTCCGCCGACATCCGGCGGGGCGGCTGCTTGAAGGGCTTGAAATCTTCCACCGTTGGTAGGCAATGCTCGACTAAGTCACGACTCAATCCGGGCATCTTGGTGTAATCCCAAGCTCAGCAATCCTTGAACTCTCTCAAAAGCTCTTCCATCTTGGCCCGAAGTTCTAGCTCCATTAGACCACTGATATAGATCGGTCGATGGTTGTCTTCCGTCCCCAAGTTGATTTCTAACAAAGGGTCTTGGACTTCCGCCTTCGAATCATCCATCTCGCTTGGTGCCAACTCTACTTCTTCGAGCTCAAGTGCATCGTCCTTCGGGCCTTCATGAAGAAATTCCACCAAGTTGGCGGTGGACCCATGCTCGGCCGCTCTTTTGGCCCAAAAACCATATAGCCATCTCAAAGTGTCTTCCACCGCGGCCTTCTTCTTTTACTCTATGTTTGTATCACTCATTGAGGGAGAAAAAATCAGCTATAGTGGGACGCTCCCCATCCGCTTGGGCATCATGTGCCCCCAAGTTTATCAACTTTTGGGCCGAGACCCCCGTAGGTCGGCCGTTCTTATCTGACCCCGTAAAATAAAGGGGCCCAATGTCATCTTCATAAAACTTTGCCTCTACCGCATTGGCGGAGGCCATGAAGGGTCGTACATTGGCCTGAACAATCTCTACACTTCCATCCTCGTGCCAAAATTGTAAAAATTGATGAAGTGAAGAGGGCACGCACATGCTTCCATGGATCCAATCTCGGCCAAACAAAGCATTGAAATGGGTCATTATCTCCACCACAAAGAAGGCAGTCATTCTAACTTTTTGCCCCATTCTAACTTGGAGTGGGAGAATCCCCTTTGAAGTCGTGGTGTCTCCCACGAACCCACTGACCGTTGTCTCGGTCGGGATTAACTCATCTGAGCCTTTCTTTAATTTCCTCATGATTGAGGCTGGTAGGATGTTGACCATAGCCCCCATATTCATAAGGACTTTACTCACCGGAACTCCATCGAAATGAGCTCCCACATACAAGGGCTTAAGGTTGGAGGACATTTTCTTGGTGGGCGTGTCATAGCACACCTTCTCGGGCACTTTTTCCTCCTTTTGGGGCACCATGATGCAAGGTTGGGCATTCCCTTCCTTTGGAGTTTCTTGGGCCATCTTAATTTCTTTGGCCCCTTCCATTTGGACCATGGACTCAACCTCATCGAACACATCTCCGTTCATAAAATTAGGTTGATCTGGCCTGAGCTTCGAAAAATAGTGGGAGTGTAACAACCATGGCATTTACCTCGTCAAAGTCTCCAAACTTTATTTTGACCTTGCCCACTTTTAGCTCATTCTCAAACTTGGCCATCTCTTCATTTCGCTCTTTCTCTAAGTGTTCCATAGCTTCCTCCGACAGATCCTCTAAGTATTCGTCATCCATATACTCCTCATCTTCCCCATATATCTCTTCGTCCTCGACCGTGTGCTCGGCCTCTTCTTCTACCACATTAGTTTCAGCGTCGACCATAACTTGGTCTTCTTCCGCCCTAGGCTCGCTTACTATTTTATGGGGCACATCCCCAGCTTCTTGGACCATATTTTGGTCCTTTTCTTTTTTACTCTCAACCTTGGTGGACTGAGCCTCTTTGGTCATGGCCGAGGCCTTGGCGACCAGAGGCTTGGCTTTTGGTGAAGCTGCCCTTGCCTTTTGAACCTTGAGAGGTTTATCTCCTCTGCTCTTGGTCGGTTCACTAACTTCCACTTTAGAATTATTTGCCTCAAAAGCCCCAGTCAAATGGGCCTCTAATTCCAAGATTGGCTCTTCCGGGGCCGTTACTACAACTCGGTCATTCACCCATTCTCGACGTATTTTCATCTCCTCGGCCGCAGCTGCCTCCAAAGAAGCCACGGCATTGGCCTTGGCCAACTCCAACTCCTCCAATCGAAGTTTCTCGCGAAGCTCGACCAATCGGTCAAGTTGGGCTTGCCTTTTATCCGCCTAATCTAACTCTGCCTTGCAAGTGGTGGCATATTGCCTTTGAGCCCTTCTCGTTTGAGTCTTGCTCAAAGGTACAGGCGGGAGTTTTGGGCCCCTGCTTATATACTATTGGCCCGCCTATGTGTTTGGCACCTTGAAAGTTGGGACACCACTACTGTCCGCAAGGCGGGGTCTTGATACATATGCCATATCTCGGCTTTTGCCTTCTCCCACCGAAATCCACATGCTTCGGTTTTGGCTTGAATCGGGCGAATCAATGTCTTCATATCTTAGAGGGGCATGTTGATTTCTCCTCTTCGGCTGATATCTCGGCCTCTCGTACCTATCTTGGTACTCATGCAATGGCCGTTTGTTCAACCTCACTTCCATTTCGCCCCTTGGGCTATGTGGGCCGTAATTCTTGACCGGACTTGTTATCATCTTCTTTTCAAAACTCCTAGATCTGCCCACTTGAACTTGATCATTGGTTTGCTCCTTAATCAACCTCTTGGTGGGTTCCTTGGTTAGCCCCTTGGGCTTTGGCCAAACCACTTCGAGAGTCAGCTCACATTGGCATCGACTACATAGCACAATGGCCTTTGGAACCTCCCAAAAGGCGGTCGGCCTTTGATCCTTAGAGGCTTTAGACAAAGCCTTGCACACATATGGCCCTTTGGCCACAATCTCGGCCAAGTTTACCTCGGCCAACTCTTATTCCTCCTCTAAGTAAACTTCATCACCTTTTTCTTCTGAGTCTATATCTCCAATGTTTACCGCGTGGACTGCCGTAGTCCTAGACCCGGAAGGTTTGGTTGAATCCCTATAAAATGTCGGCCGGAGTGCCGGCCGCCCTTTTTGTTGCTCCTCCTTTAAAAGGGATTTATATCGATCCACCCGAAGTAAGAAATCATAAATGTCGCGGAACTCAATTCCTTCAAATTTCTTTCGGAGGTCAAGCAACAATCCTCCTTGGGCCAATTTTGCAAACTCGTGCTCCGGCATATTGATCGTACACCTAGCCCTTGCTTCTCTAAATTGCCCCAAATATTCTTGGACCGACTCACTCAGCTTCTAGCTTATCTTTGCCAAGTCGGCCATTGAGACTTCTGGCTCCGGTCGATAGAATTGCTCGTGGAAGACTTGCTCCATAACTTGCCAATTCAAGACTGAATTTTGTGGAAGCTTAACATACCATGAAAAAGCTGCCCCCGTAAGGGTACTCGGAAATAGCCTTAGTTTCAAGGCCTCGCGATGCCCAATCTCCGCGCATTGGGCCGTGAATCGGCCAATGTGCTCAACGATCGACTGGAGCCCATCTCCCGAAAATAGTGCGAAATCCGGAACCTTGAAGCCCCTCGGAAATTCCTCTTGATCAAAATGCTCCGGATATGGCCTTCGGTAGACTGGCCTACCAATCCTCCTAGCATGGGGCACCATATCTTGAATCATTTGTTCGACTGCACCTCGGTCGATTGCTTGATTCCCTAGCAATGGGTTGTTAGCATTCCCACCGGGGTTATTCCAACCACCGACTCCGAATTGGTTGATATGAGGCCCAGCGAAATTGGCCCCAGCCCCTTGGTGAGCTTGTGGGCGGAATTGATTATATGGCGAGAACACTTAAAATTGGTTGACCGCCACATATGGGTTGTTGCCCATCAGCGGAATATTAACCACTGGGGCTTGGTTGCCCCCAGCTAGTGGATTAAGTTGGGGCGGATTTACTCCAAAACCATTTGGTTGGGCCTCCACTTGTGGCCCAACCGCTGGTGCTCCAATTGGCGCCCCTTGGTTTCCATTTTGGCCATTTTGTTAGCCTAACCATCGATCAAATCTCTCGTTGATCTGAGCATTTGGAGTGGCCATCGTTTGGGCCATTGTCTCCATGACACGCATGAGTTGTTGGAGTTCCAATGTAGTGGCTGGATTCAGCCTCAATACTGGTCCCCCGGCGACTTCCGTAATGTCTTCGACTACCACTTGATCGTGGCCGACGGTCGTGTTTCGGCCGGGGCCATTTTGCTCTTGTTGAGTGGCCGGAACATTTTGTGGCTGAGTATTCGTAAGAAGTGAACCAGCCATGCTTTTCTCTGATTCCGACCGAAGTCTAGATTCTTCAAATTCTTGACCTCTTCTAGGATTTCTCCTAGTGTTTGCGACCATACAAAACCTAGTAGTCCCACTGGGTGTGCCAAATTATGTTCCCCTCTTTTCGGCCAGGGCGGCCGACGGAAGGAACTTTTGGTCCTTCTTCTTTTGGATGCGGGGCGTGCCACCACCAAGCCTCGAAATTGGGCTTGAATGGAATGAGAATAGATGGATGTGTTGCGCTTCTAACTTCTGACCAAACGATTGATCAGTTAAGCAAGAAACCTCTTATTGGCCTAGATTCTTTCACTTTCTCCGGCTCGAGAATGGTTAGGTTTCGTACGGATGTTTTTGTGATTTTTATGGTTTAAGTAAAAATAATGCAATTAAACCAAATATGCGTATAAATGTAAAGACAAGAATTGAAATGCGATAAAATAAATCAAAGCGATAGCTAAAGCAAGAATGAAATAAAAGCGATAAGAACGATAAGAACGAAAAGGAAATAAACTTGAAATTAAATTTAATCGAAGTGCGATAACAATTAAATGTAAAGGAATCGAAATAAACTTGAATTGAAATGATAATAAATATAAATCAAACAAGAATTGAAATGACAGGGAAAATATAAACTTACACTATAAATATGAAGAACTCACTACACTAGGTGCTTGAAAAATAAAATCCTAAGTCTAGGAAAAGAAAAGTGCGAGACGAAATATAGGTTTGTTTGTCTGATGTTGTGTGTCTGATGTCTTCATGGAGCAAGGTTTATATAGGGCACTCGTCAGCCCATGGGCTGGCCATTGAATGGCTAAATGTCAACTCTTCTTTAAAATCTTTCCTTTCGAAGCCCTCCTAAATCCGTGGGATTGCGTTCATATTCTGACATGCTTGATTCTTCCTTGTTTTGGAACACTCGGAGTTACTATAAAAACTCCCTTGATTTCTTTCCTTGTGAGGCCCTCCGTCACGTGCACGTAATCCTCCGAAAATCTTGGCTTTGAAATTAATGGCTTGAACTAAAACCTTTAATCTCTTGGCATAATATGAGGGTGCCCTTCATAATCTTTAAATTTCTGAAACTCTAAAATTAGTCTGCTGAAGAACTTGATTCAATTTTCATTTTCATTTATACATATATAATATAATATATATATGTGTATATATATATGTATATATATATAAATATTATACGAATCAACAATCCAAACTGCTAGCCCAGCC